AAAAAATTCTGTAATTCCTTTTTTTTCTCTCCCTTAGACCAGATTTAAGACTTCTGCTGGAACAGCACACGGCTTGGTTATCTCAACTTATAGGGAATCCTGGTGAATCATTTTTGTTTGTTTGACGTCCTGTGGGATCAAACTGCCATGAATTTTGAATGATCTAAAAACTGTGTAGTTTACTTCAGCTAAAACTGCCTTCCACTTGAAAACATAAATCAGCTCAGCTGAAATAGTCTAGGTCTTTTTTTTATTTTTTTTTAACTGTTATGGCCAGCCCCAGCTCCAGCTCAAGCTGTGCTGCTCCCAGTGGTAGGAGAGGAGCTATCATCGTACCCTGCCACTGGCCAAGTGCCCCATTGCTGCGCATTGCCTCCCAGCAAGTGAGGGCTCCTTGGGCTACATAACCAAAACCTAGCCCACAACAGCCCCTGCAAGGTGTCCTGCCTGGCATTGTGCTGGCAATGGGTCATCAACAGGGTGAGATTTGCTTTGTTTGGGTCTTCTTCCACCAGTTCGGAGCTTGGCAACTTCACAAAGCAAATAGGACTCCAAGTCAAGCCTCTTTTAACTTGCAAACACAGCTCCAAGTGGAGTTGCAGTAGGAGCTTTCACTTTTTCCTCCAGCAGCAAACTGAAATTAAAAGCAGATGCGGACAATGGCATTGTCTCTGGGGAATGAATGATATTATTTTACCAGCTTGACATCTGGTGAGACTAGATTAAAACCTCAAACGTGCTGGGCTAGTCCTGCTTTCTAGATCCTCCAAAATGGGACAAATCGTCCCATTGAATGCGTTTGTGGGTTCAGGTTTATCTACAAACCTGGAAACTTCTGAATGGGGACTTCAAGTTGGACATTTGTGTGGTAAGAAGACCCAAACTACAGTGGCTAGGTTTATGTATTTGTAGAGTGGAGGCGAGACTTTAATATGAGTCCATCTTATAAGATAGTGGAAAAAATACTAAATCAGAAGGGAAAAAGGGAGCTTTTGATTCATGAGGCCCAACAATATATTTGAACGCATGCCCACATGCATCCATAGGAAAATATCCCCTTCCAGGACCTTTATTCAATAAAATTCCCAAGCAATTTTCTAGATAACATCATGTTTGCCCACCTCAAAGAGGGGATGCCGTGCTTCCTAGGTATGTCTTTTCCATCGCCCTGTACTCATTTCTATATGTTTTGAAGCATTACAGAAGCCCCTAATTTCCGTGTGCATGGTGATGGCTTTGTTGGGGTAACAGCACCAGATGATGCCCTGATGGCTGAATAGGCACAAGACACCCGAGCATCCCCATTTTTTTCTCCCAGCTCCCCCTGTGACCTTTGATAAGTAACTTAACCTGTTGTCCTCAGGATCCCCAGTAAAATGGGAGACCTTAATACTTATCTGGTGGGATAACAGTGCTTAATTCTTACCTAATTGGATGACAATACTTACCTACATACCTCACAGGGGTGTTGTGAGGATTAATTAACTAATGTTTGTAAAGTGCTTTGGAGATGGAAAGCGGTATATAGTTGTGCTAAGCACTATTACTCTGTGCCAGCACCAAGACCTTAAAATGGCTAAGGACAGAATAAGAGTTTTTATGTTTTGAAATAAGCCAATTGTTCAAGGCATCCGGATGCTGGAAGTATTTTTAGACAGAGATTTCTAAGAAAGTTGGGAAACAGAAGGGGATAATTATATGACCCCAAACCTTTTTTGTTTCTTTTAGTTGACCGACAAAACATAATCTTAGTTAGGTGTCGTTTGATGAATGTAAAAACTGCTTCTTGGGGTTTAAGATATATCAGTGTTTACTCTTACTGATCAAACAATATTGAAATAAATATCTCTGTTACAATTTGGACAAACAAATATATTAAATAAGCCAGAGGAAGTATTTATTTCTGTGTTCTTTCTTTCTGTATTTCTTTCTGTAAGCAGCTTTTTTATTGGCGTAATTCTGCTCTTGTTCCCATTAGGGTAACTGAAAGGTAACACCGCTGCAGTAAATGGAATTACACCAGATACAAAAGCATTATGTGAGAGCAAAATTATATTTATATGTGGTCTGAAATGCAACTTGACACTTGGATTTAAAGAAAAATCAAACCAGCCATTCCTAGAAATATATATAAATGAAACTTTTTTTCTTTTTTTTTTTTTTTTCCCTATGAAAAACAAAAATTGCCATACTGCTTGTTTCATGGCAGCTCCTAAACAGATCTTGCAAAAGGCAGGTCTGGTATACCATAGGCCATATTTTTTCTTTCACAGGAGGAAACTTTGCAAGATTTTTGCCTTTAAATATTTTATTTGGTTCCTAATGTGGGCTCTTGGTCCAAGAAAGCAACTTTATAGATACCTAAGCGCCCATTTGTATTTTTTTGCAAGAGCATTTCTTCAGATCTTTTACTCTCCAACGTTAGAGAAAATTCCCACAAATTCCTGAAATCTGCTAAAATACAGAGCAGAGTGCTTACATTGGTATGTTGCACATTGGCTGTCCCTGTTAAAAACTCTGTGCATTTTTATTCTGGATATGCAAAAGAAATTTGATATACTGCTGGGCTAAGTACCAGGATTTGGTTGGCTCTAGGTCCAATTCTTACATTTCTGCGTCGTCGGGCAAACGTAAGAATGGATAACATTTAAAATAAAACCTACCCCAAGGCCTTTCTTATGGATATCAGGTTATTTGAAAATGTAATGGAGACTATTTCCCGCAATCAGGGGTGAGTCAAGGAAAATGGCATCAAAGAGCTCCAGGCAGCCAAGGGGATAACTTGACCAACCCCAAGCATGCTGCCCATTTCCCAGCTGCCTGAACAACCAAGGAGACCTCAGGAAGTCAGGTGGAAAGAATATTTTCCAGATTAAACTGGCATTTGGCCCTTCAGCTGCTGCGTGAGCCCAGAGTGGGCCCATGGGCGTAGAATCCAGCCTTAGACCACAGGAGGAGGGTGATGTGAAGTATGACTGATGCTGTCAGTGGTGAGCTCGTCAGGCTAATGCTCGTAATCTATGCATATAATAGCTATCGAGTGCTTTGGAGTTGGCTGTTCCTGAGGAGGAGCTGGGGGGACAAGGGGACTTAGTGTTTGGGGAGAATTAGCTGTATCTAGGCAGCAAAATTTGCAGACTTGGAAGCCTGTTAATTGTAGTGGAAGTACAGTACGCTGCTAACCCCTTGGTGCCTGGCGTTAACAGTTCCCAGGACACGAGCTGTTGCCAAAATGGAGCCGTAGCTGGTGTGTAGGCCCCAAAAGGTGAAAAGTACGGACAAGAAGGAGAAGGTGGAGAAAGAGAGGGATGCAGTCTGACATCGGGGAGTCATGGCCACTGGAGCAGCAGAGTCAGCATTTATTTCTCTCTCTGCTTTTGCCTGCACTTTCTGCTGGCCCAGGAGGACCTCCTGAGCTAGACCAGCTCCCAGCACAGCATTGCCTGGAGGCCATGCTCCTCATGTGGCCCGGCCTAGCCTGATAGAGCCACTGTATGTGTAGTGACAGAGGAGACGTGCTATGGAGCACGATGTGTCCTGCTGTGGGCCTGCTGTCCCACCACCTCCATGTGTCTGACCAGGCCCATGCTGGGAAGAACTGGGCCGGTTTTTGGAGACAAAGGGAGAAAAGCTGGAATTTGAGTTTCCATCCATCCATTATGACCTTGGACAAATCATATAACCTCAACGCAGGTTAAGATAAACCCCATTTTTACTGTACTTCAGGAACTATTAGAGATGGTGCAGATCCAGGTGCCACCACGATGGAGGTTTGCAGGATGGCTCCCTGCCCAGAGCAGGACCGTGCCCTGTGTCAGGTGAAGGGAGAGAGCTTTTCCCATTATCCCTTCTCTTGCTGCCCTGGGAGAGCTAAAGAAGATGCAGCAGCTGATGGCTTTGTACACCTGGATTTAATCTTTGCTCTCCATCCTTAGGCAAATCAACGCCACCTGATGGTGTGGCATATTCCCAGTGTACTCACTGGTTTGGTGGCACTCCTTAAAAATAAACAAATAAATAAATAACCGTGGGCAGAATGCACAACCCAAGGTCAGACTTCAGCGAGGTCTCCCAGACCTTGTAGGTCAAACCTTTTGGCCCTACTCTAACAAGCGCTTAATTATGTAGTGACTTCTGTTCTTAAAAAACTCTAGCTACTAACACTATTCTGTAGGTGTCACACACACAAAAAAAAAGACAGTGCTACTGAGCAGGAGAGATTTGGGTGACATGTAGGTGTCTGAGCACAAGGCACCTTGTCACTGAGCCTGCCTCTGGCCACCATAAAGAGATGGGCATTAATTATGAGTGTGCATCCTATACTACAAAACCCTGGCTAGTCTTCATCCAAGAAGAAAAATGTAGGACATGGGATGGGAGCACTGAAAGGCAGAGGCTGAGCAGACTCATGGTGGGCTGGGTGAGACACCAAGGAAACACCCTCAGAAGCTGCCTTGCTTATGGGTTTAACCATCGCTGATGCCAGAGGTGGCTTGGTGCAAAGGCTGATGAAAGATCACAAGAAAGGGTTGCAGAAGCAAGGCTCAAGGGCTGTCTTAAGTGCTTTTTTGGGGGGGGAGAAAGCCCAAACTTTGTGCAGGACACCCTGTGCAGGATGCCGAAGCCTGCGGTGGAACCAGCCCTATTCCCTCCCTTTTTAGGCCCAGACTCAGCCCTTTGAGCGGGCAAACCTGCAATGAAAATATTTGGGGTTTGCTCAGCCTGCGTGGGCTCCTGTGGCCCTGCGTGGGCCTAAATGAAGAATATCCTCTTTAGGACATCAGTGAAGTGTCCTCTTTAGGTCCTCAAGAGATGGAGCTTTCTGCTGGTTAACCATTACTCTGCATTTTCCCCTCCTTACAAAACGACTAAGGTTAAACATTAAGCGCCTGCAGTGAAGGACACCTGTATTTGCTGGTCCCATTATGCGGCTGTACTGAAAAGGCTTTACAGCTGTCTAAATTAGCATAATTAAATCCACATCAATTAAAAAACCTCAA